CTTCAAGTGGTCTTCCGGTTAGGCATGAATACTCACTGAGTTCAATATTTCGTTCACACATTTTTACAAATTTAAAAACTTTGCAACAGTACTGTTTTCATTATTTGCTGGACAAATGAGTTGGCAATCCCAAAAAAATAATTGAACATCCATATAAAGACGATTTTAATGAAGTCCCTTGGGTGATTGCTGTACATGTACACAGGTTTTACTGTTTATCAATTTAGACTCCTTTGATGTGATTTTTATTCAGGATGGCTCCTACATACCCAAAGCTGATGTAGTCAAGCGTACAATGGTTGTATTAGAACCTGAAGTAAAAGATTTAGACCAGTTTGGTCCATTCATTTCATACCTCTGCAGTGATGTACCCACATATAGACTAGTCAAAATAACTGATCTAATTGGAGGGGGTAAGTGCATTGTTTTGTTTATTTGATGTCGTGTATCATGCCTACACCTCATATTTATCTCGACTTCAGTTTCAAATTAGTCAGAATTAAAAAATGAAGCGTAACTACTGAATCTGCTCCTCCTTAAAATGTTTTGGTGATAAGTGTGCCGTCTAAGCTGATATGACCCGTCACTAATGCACAGAGTGTATCCTCTAGGCTAATATGATGCATCTCAAATGCACAGAGTGTATCCTCTAGACTGATATGATGCGTCTTGAATGCACAGAGTGTATCCTCTAAGCTGATATGATGCGTCTTGAATGCACAGAGTGTATCCTCTAGGCTGATATGATGTGTCTTGAATGCACAGATTGTATTCTCTAGGCTGATATGATGCATCTCGAATGCAGAGTGTATCCTCTCGGCTGATATGATGCGTCTTGAATGCACAGAGTGTATCCTCTAGGCTGATATGATGCATCTCGAATGCACAGAGTGTATCCTCTAGGCTGATATGATGCATCTCGAATGCACAGAGTGTATCTTCTAGGCTGATATGATGCGTCTTGAATGAACAGAGTGTATCCTCTAGGCTGATATGATGCGTCTTGAATGCACAGAATGTATCCTCTAGGCTGATATGATGCGTCTTGAATGCACAGAGTGTATCCTCTAGCTGATATGATGCGTCTTGAATGAACAGAGTGTATCCTCTAGCTGATATGATGCGTCTTGAATGAACAGAGTGTATCCTCT